GTTCGTTTTACAGACGTTTTTCACATTTTCCCCATACCTTACTAGTTTTCTGTATGACATATTGTTTTTGTAAAATAAGATGTTTGTTGAAGTTTTCTATATTGAACATTCCGCTGATCCAACGCCACTATAAGGTCGGTCAAAGATATCCAGTATGATCATTCAGAAATTGCAATCATGATTAGATAAGGCAGCAAATAAGACGACCTGTAGATCGTTACTTGGATAAAACGAAAGAACTCAGTCATGGAAAAGTGTTTAATGAATAGGCTGAAAGTTGCAACGCACCAGATGGTGGTCTTGAAATTTAGCATAGTCGACGTTTTAACGTGGGACGAATGTATGTTTAAAAAATATCATCGGTAGAAAAATGTAAACAATTATTTTTCATGGAAGGTTGAACTAAAAATTGATTCATATGATTAAATAGCCCTATTCATGGACATTGTTATCTGATAATACCCAATTCTCGACCAATGGAGCCCGAATTCGTGTTGAATAAAATCCTGAAAAATGGAACACTACAATGTATGTTGTGGAAATATTTGTGATAACCAACAAACAGGACTGGACAGCTCTTTCGTCCTGTTTTTGGGACTCATCAGCAGTGCGTACTTTCTGTGTCCCTACCAGGTCTCAAACCGCGAAAGTTTGGGTGGGGACTTGAAATCCTTACCCCTGAGGTACACCGTCGACGGGCACCACCTTGTGTGAATGGCTCGATCAATCTGAATGCATTTAAATAGTGCAAAATTATTGATCTCCCAAATGAGTGAAACCCACACCGAACATCATCAGCAGTGTCTAGTGTCTGTGAAAAACCGAATGAGCTAATCCAAATATTGACCAAATACAATATATGGTTTTCTCATTAGTTCAACTCACCCTCATAAATAAAGTCATAGAGTTGATATATGATCTTCCTGAGTACATTTTAACCTTGTGGTATCATCTGAATTCGGTCGAAAAAATGAACTATTACTATACTCAAGAAATAATCACAGCTTGTTATATATCACGTATTCGCCCGTCATCCACCGCGAATAGAAATTTGAGAACACCAGTATAGTAATATCAGTCTGCCTGATCACCGCAATGAAATCAAAATATTAAAAAAATCCGTTTAGCGGCTCATAAGATTTGATGAAATATCTCTTTTCCTCTTTTGTGTTTCCATCCACAAATAACTGTTACTTTACTTTGGCAACAAGTCGGAAATCCGGTGTTGATGTACACTGTTCTTTGTCGGCAACGTGATTACATTTTGTTTTGGTTCTATTGTAATCTGGCCCGACTGCTTGTCCAAGTACCAAATCATGACGGTTAAGCGAGACATCTTCAAACTAACCGCCGGTATCAAACGAGATGCAATAAGCATCCGTGAGGAGTCTGCAATTTCATTTTCACTTTATCACTCGGTTACTCCCAGGCGGAACGTAAATACACCACTTCCATTTGGCAGCCTGTCGACCCATCAAGTCAGTTTTATTTTAATATATATTGTGAATTAACCAAAATAGAATTGGTGGCAGCTGATATTATAATGAGATTGACACAATGGCTACTCCAGTACCGCCAGTTTAAAACTGACACAGTCGTCTCCTTCGCAGTGAATTCATTTATTCCCGTCTTGCCGAAATTACGTTCTCATTTGTGTTTGCTTGTTGATGAATATTTAAACATTTCTAAATTATGTGGACGGTGGTGACCCGATGGTAACGTCAACAAATTATGACCCCAAAGGACGTGTGTTTGAACCCCGCCACCGCTGACCAACTTTCCCCTTTGCACGTTGTATGGCGGCCTTTCGATTGTTGTAAATTTTATCTTTGTATATTTAATAAAAGAAAGTAAAAAGAAAATGAGGAAAAGAAAGTACATTTGATAAAGTTTCCACGAAGTGGTTGAGATCAATTATGCACTCGCATTTCTTCCTTTCAGCATGAAAATGTGGTAGGGAACTGATTGCACTGAACACTGGAAATACTGACAAATCGAAATATCCGGATTCCCCTAATATAATCGAGAGTAACCGTTTAATTGAATGTGTTCATCAATAACGTGTTTGGTAAAAACGAACTCAACTTTCGGTGGTGAATGCAGCAACATTATTAGGTCATCTCACTAATAGCATTTCTTTGTGCCCAAATAGAGGTGATAAAAGCTGCGTAACAATCGCGTTAACTCTGCTCGCACAATTTAGAACGCACTGGGCGCCGTTTACACTGACCTCAACTNCACTGACCTCAACGGTGAAACAAACCTCATCTCTGTTTTACCGTTCCACGTTGTCCAGTAAACTTTAAGAAATTCATCCTAAAGTCCCTGAAATTTTGGGAACGAATTGTGTCTACAATCTGACAACAAACGAACGATTTACAATCAGTACTAAGGGCAGAATGATAAACTCGTCCTTCTTACCCATACTTACCGGAATCCGGGGGTAGGAGAATGTGTAGCATTTTACGCCCCCGAACTGGCCACATTTTACAAATAGTTTCACGTAACTCGTTGTCTCGCTGATCCATAATATCTGTTGGTCCCGTTTTGATGCCCAAGGACTCGCGAATCAGAGCAAACAGAGTGGTGCTGAACTGCACACATCCGTTCTCATCCACGGGCATATTCATACGTACCAGTTTCTGCGCGGTAGGAAAGAACGGGATCGGGTTAACGATACCAGGTTCGGTAAGTTGGAAGTAGGAAGTTTTTTTAATATTTCGTCATAACACTGTGTTTGCGACTGAATTACAAATTTCCAGACTCTGCGGTCTCATCCTGTGTATGCTTATTTATTTGTTCCTGTGGAACATAGGCCGCACGGTCAGGCGATTGTCCAGACGAATTTGTGAACATCGCCCTGCTCGGCTGAACACCGGAACAATTAAGTCACTCACCAGTGCACTGGTTTCACACCTGACCGAAACAAATCACACTGTGGACGTGTCCCAGGCCTTCCGACCCCTGTATAAATTTCGTGGGTGACTATCGAGGCAGGTTAGCTATCGGATTCTGGCTACAACAGAAGCGATGGGCATTAGTCTGCACACCTTCCCTCTGTGTGCCCAAACATAATTTGTGCAAGCGGTAAAGCTTCCCTGGTCCAGCCCCTCACGCACCGTATCACCTGTAATCCCAATGATCGGATGAGTGGACAAACAAATATGTGATCGTGGTTATCCGGATTTTCGGTCTCATGATGAAATCGTCTCTAGTATTCTGTGATTTTATTTTATTTTCTCAAGACAATTTCAATCCGAAATAGTGATATAGGTATTGGCATGAATATGAATCTCTGAAAACTATCTTGTTCCCCTCCCTGTGGTTTTGTTTGAACCGTAACGGTAATTTAAATCTTGGGGGAAAAACAAGCCCAAATTAGGTTCAGTGATGGACGGCATACGTAAAAGAAATAAAAATATACACTGACAGTAAAAGCAATGTGAATGCATCTACCAAGACAAGGGAATACGCTACAATCTGAGGTAAAAAAAACATTGATTTATAGTAGGTGAAGAAAACCTTAATTTTTTTAAAGACATTTACGACTGTCTCTGCTTGTCGTTTCCCTCTGTTTACCTTATATGGTTATCTTTATTTCACTGGAATATGCAGTTATCTAGCCCTAATCATTTCATAATCACCAGGGTTAATTTCTTTCATCTCATGTATGTATAGTGTCTGAGGTGCAAAAGACCAAATTGCGCAGTCTTTCGATTATTAAGCGTATCTAAAGAGATAAACTACAAACACCAGAGGGGAATCCAGTGCTTCACCGCGCGCGATATAGATATAGCTGAGGTATCAATTTACATTCTCTTAGCGTTACCTATGAGTGGGCTTATCAAAAATACGTTATGATTGATATTGAGTGACCATGCATCGTTTCATGCATGGTTTCTTTGCTCGAGACTGAGTAATCTATGATAATTTGAAAGAATTTTCGTAATCGTTCTCCATTCGGTTTTTAGTTCCTGTTTTTTATCTCGGTCTACTTT